TTTCTTACAAGAGTATAATTGTTTCTTAGGGCTGGAGATTTAGCTCAGTGGCACCGTGCCTGCCTTGCAAGAGCAAGGTCCTGAGTTGGATCCCCGGGACCACAAAAAAAAAAAAAAGAGTGTAATTGTTTCTTTCCTAAACAATAGTATGGTTGTGTGCACCTAAGATCTTCCATGATGTTATTGCTGAATGTAGGTGTTAATTAATAAAGCACGGAATAATACATTCATTTGTATAATGAAATAAATCTTTAAACCTCATAAAATATGACAGTTCCTATCAAGAAAGAAGGTTGAGACCTAAAAATATGTGTTCTTTTCAAAGACTCAGATACCATTGTAATAAGTAGAGAGTAGATAATTTTCTCCTGAAAATTTCATTTGTTTTATGGTTAATATAAAGATAATTTTATGATTTCCTTTAGAAGAAATTAAAGCAAAATTCTTCCTTTCATATGTTGAGTGAAATGAAACTGTAAATAAAACTACTAAGAAGATTTTTAGATCCTCTTCTGATAGCCGTAGAAGGTAATATGCTCCCAGCTGAGACAGTATGGGACTGACATGACTGGGTACATTTTCAAAATAAACATGCCATAAAAATGATTGGTAGATCATAATCTATGCAATTAAACTATGTTTTTTCCCCCAAATTTTGAAGGTAGAACCCTGGAAATCTGACTTATGCCAAAGAGAGAAGAGTAATTGGAAACCTAAAAGTGAATTCTAGATTTTCATTTGCTCTTTATTGCAAGGCTATATATTCAGGAGAGGTTGAAAAGATTATGTAGTTGAGCTGCTCTGTGATTACCTCTGTATGTTGCTATGGTATGAGTCCGGTATGATACTATAATGACAGCGACAAGACAAGCCCACAGATAGAGAAAGGACCTTTGTCTGATGGTAGCTACTTGTGATCATACTACTATAAATCCAAGTCATGCAAGGAGTGGGATTTTATAGTTCTAATTGCCATTTGAGATTATTTCGCTGCCCAACTGAAGAAGATATGAGAAGTGCTTTTGTAAGAGTCCTGAAACCCTACCTTAAGCATCCATTATGGTACAATTTTAATTTTGAATCAGTATGAGCTTTATCTCCAGTTATGATGTTCACATCCACCTAAGTTAAGAGGAGGATCAATAGTAAAAGGAAACCAGCAAATTGTAGGCTTTGCAATAAATCTAAGGTATTAGGTGGACATAATTTAAACAGTTGTTTTTCTTTTCCCGAAGAATAAACTCATAAGAGAAAAAAATGAGGCTCTAAAGGGATTACGCATTCCTCAATTTTTGATAGCTGTGTTAAATGCAATATTGGGCTTTAGTTCCACTGCTGAATATTTGTTGATGATCATTTATTCACCAACTCCAAACCCAAAAGATGCTATTTGAGGTTTTTTGTGTGGTTTTTGTCTTGGCCCTTCTGTCAGTGTTTGACTGCATGATTGTAAAAAGCAACTCCCTGCATGTGAGAAGACAGATGCTGGTGATTTAAGCAGGGAAATTCACCACAGTGCTTTAACTCAGCTGATGTTTAATGATTTACCATTTAAGGTAGTTTGTCTTTCATAACCCTGAGTTCAAGCAGAAGCAGCTGCTATTAGGAATGCAATAATATTGAACGTCCCACCAAAAGACCTGCGAGAGCAACTTTTGTAGCTTTAGCTACTGGACCCATCTGGCCTTTCCCCTAAGCATGACAACTGGGGGAGAGAAGCAGTTTACTTCTCCTTAGCGCGGAGTCTTGGACTGAATGTATAATTATGCAAGATAAAGATTTTCAAATCAAAACTCCTTGTGTTAACATTACTGTGCTACTTTGGAGGACAAAGCGATGTGCTTTGTCTCATTATCAAAAGAATGCCCAGAAAAGTCAGGAAGCAAACAGAAAATTGTACTGAGCTGAAATCAATTCAAAGGGTAGAGGTGTCGCTGATTTCAAGCCTGAAAGATAAACTTACTTTCTTTTAATTTCGATTTGCTTTCATTACCATGGGAGTGTTCTGATGAAATATTTGCGAAGTCTTCTCTCTTTAGTTTTAGAAGATATCTTGGCAGATAGAGATATAGATGGGTGAATAGATGGATGAACTGGTAGATATTTAAAATAACAACAAAAAAAACTTAAAAAAACTAATGGATAAGAGACAGACATCTAATGAGACTAAAGTTTTGGAAGGAGAATGCTACTCAGTATGACTATAAGAATTTGATTACTATTATCAAATACAATGCTTTAAATGCATTTTCTATAACCTAATCCGATATTTGTTTTCACTTTGACATTATTGGTTAGTGATTGAAAAGCAGGTTATAGGCTAGGTTGCCTTTTTTCCCCCTTTCTTTTATTTATTTTTAGTAAAATTTTAACATCTGCAAATTAGGATTTTCAAGAAAAGGATGAAGAGCTCTCATGATAATTAAAGGCCTGCCAGACAAAAACTATTGCCTAGTTTTGAATATATATATATAATCCCCTGAATGCTTACAGTGGATCAAAGATGATTTTTGTTTTCAGCAATGCAGTCCTAAAAGCCAGAGAAGGCACTGAGATGTTTTCACTGTGAGACACACACTTAGAGGCATGTGGGATTAGATGGACAAAAGACACCATGTGGATACCCTCTTCTGATACATTTTTCATGCTTTTAGCCAGAGTCACACTTTGCCTCAATGACTTAATGGTTATTATTATTATTTTTTAAAACCTTTGCTTACAGGGGGCTGGGGATTTAGCTCAGTGGTTCCGCCGCCTGTCTTGCAAGCACAAGGTCCCGAGTTTGATCCCAGGTACCAAAAAAAACCCCCACCTTTGCTTATGGTATAACAGCATTTGTTCTCACCTATATGTATTATTAGAAAATACTGTCCTAGAGATATTTATGTATTATCCAAAATTTGACATTACTTACTATTTTGGATTTGCCATTTGGCAAATAAGTAATTTGCATATCTTGTAACTACACAGTTATGACATTTAAAAAACAAAGAAGGCTTTTTTATAAGAATGGTGAAAAAAATAGAGTCTTATACATAAATGTGCTCTACCTTACTCTTAGAATTGTGGAGTTACTGATAGAAAGTGTCTTTGGGGCCAGGGATTTAGCTTAGTGGTTTCACTGCCTGCCTCTCAAGCCCAAGGACCCGAGTTCGATCCCCAGTACCAAAAAAAAAAAAAAAGAAAGCATCTTTGTCCACTTTTGAGGTATAGTCTTACTTCCTGGTCTGTCATTGATCGAATGCATACCTGGATTCTTAACTTCGTTACTATTTCCTGAGAAAACCTTTCAATCATTTTTTTATTTGTAGCGCTTAACAGATCTCCATGTAGGGAAATAGATATGTTAATGTGAAGAATTGGGTCCAGATTCTCATGATTTTATGGTCAAAGTACACATTCCATTTTCACTGTCTCTATAAGCTGTTAAAAACTGAAAATCAAAAATTAATGTATCAACTTCAACAAGTTAGAAAATTCAATTTGGAATCTTACCCAAATTCATTCTTTTGGTCTTAATACATCGAGATATTTTATGAAATTTTTATTTCTCTATTTGCTCAATTTCAAGATTTATAGGAGTTCTAATTTGAAGCATGGCAGAAATACCACCACAGAAGCAGTGGGAGGTTGACCCGCAAAATTTTATTATAATTGTTTCCAGGCCCAAGGGCATATTATTATGGGGAAGTGTATATTTGAAAGTAATGTTTCAGTTTTTTAACCTTTTAAAATTTTGAAAGTAAAAATGCCCCTTTTGTTTTTTAGAAGGTAGTTATTCTGATTTAATTAATTTTAATTAGCCCTAGAGTATATATTTTGTAGATATCAATGAAAATTAGGTTTTCACAAATACCCAGAGAAAAAGATTCACTCTTTAGTGAGCTGGATTATTCAGGTGAATGTGGTTAGTACATTCAAAGAAGTGAACATTTCACAATCAAGTGTTACTATGAGCTGTTTGCAAGTGATCCTGTATGTGTTAAATAGTGCTGGAGTTTAAATGCAGGTTAAAGCATACACTTTTTAAAGGGCTATAACAAGAAAATAAAAATAAAAATGATATTTTCATGCAAAAAAGCGTCTGAAGTGTGCAATTTTTTTTTTTTTTTTTTGGTACCGGGGATCGAACTCGGGACCTTGAGCTTGTGAGGCAGGTGCCGGAACCACTGAGCTAAATCCCCGGCCCTAGAAGTGTGCAATATTTGACTGGAGGTGGCTGTGAGTGTTAATGTGGACTGAAATTTTCTAATGCAGCATGACAACTATTCACTTATCTAAAAAACATCAGATTATACAATGGTAATATTCAAATTTAAAGAGATTAGAAATATATGAAATGACCTATCAACTTTAGAAGCCAGATATCCACATTTATCTCAAATTGTGAAAATAGCATACCAACTTTTCTGTTGGGGAATGGTAGGCCCTAATACAACAAGACAAGATTAGTCAACAGGCTTTTTGCCTACCTTCACCGTAATGCCCCACTGTGCCAACAATCTATACCATCTAGGGGCAGGAAGGTGAGGTATCTCTGCTCACCATCACAGTCACACCCAGTGCTCCGCAACAGAGATGTGTTAACAGAGAAAGCTGTACAAATTTATTATGAAAGTTTTATGTGATACAGAAAGTTTCAAAAACAAAGAAAGGCCCAGAGAAAACTGTATGTCTATGCTGAGTTGGATGAAGAATAGGCAGCTGTAGGAAATGTGATTAGACAGATAATACAAGGTAACAGACTGAGAGGGAAACCTAGCAAGGCTTGTTTGCCGAGATTCTTTTTGGCCTCTGTGTAGCATTCCTTCCTTTCAGGTATGGGGCACAATGCCCCCTGACATAAGTGCCTTGTGACCTACTATCACACTAGATAGTGTGAAGACCAGAGCACTGTTTCTTGGTTTCATGGCTGGCTTTGAATTCCAGACTCTGTGACTCACCTTAGGAAAGAGAATTCTAGTTTCCATGGCCTGACTTGGCGGGGGTGGGGTGGGGGTGGGTGGGCAGAAGCAGGAGAGAGCAGGAGAAAGGGCAGAAGGAGACTGCCTCTGAGACCTTCCATTGTTCTCCAGGTCAAAGTATTCAGCATGCCACTGCACCATATTTTGGGGCGTCATGGTCATTTGTTAAGCATCAACAAAATAGTGCTGTATAGCTGAGAGGATGTGCAGAGAGAACAATACATTCAACGAGACCGAAGTAAGCCGTTATTGATGCAAAACAGATCTCATTCTTCTTATTCTTTTGTGAAGTTATAGGAAAAACTTATATGGAGATCTAGTACACTATTTTGAAGGGTAAATTACAAAAGAAGTGAATAAATGAAAGTATCCAGTGGAAACTTTTGAACACTATTTATAAAATAATGGTAAAGTTAATAATCAAGAAAAGAGATCTGGGGCCGGGGATTTAGCTCAGTGGTTTCACTGCCTGCTGTGCAAATGCAAGGACCTGAGTTCAATCCCCGGTACCAAAAACACAAAAACAAAACAAAAAAAGAAATCCATGAATTATCATCATGATTTACCAATTCAGAATCACATACTGGCAAGGCATTTTTCTTATCAAAATGTGAGTTTTAAAAAAATCAAATTTATACTTTCCATTTATCCTTACCCCTCTTAGAGGGATTCAAAAAAAGTCATAGGACTCCTCATGGGTCACAATAAATTTCATCATAACTATATAATTTTAATTATATCTTATAGGAAAAATAATGAAGTAAAGGAAGACATTTGTTGTACCTGAAATAAGCATGGCAGAAAAAGAAAAATCTCTTTAACTCTTGAAAGAGTAATTCATAATGCATGTTCTGAGCACTACTTGCCTGAGAATGACTTGGGAAACCTGTTAGAAATGCTGCAAATTCCTGGGATCCATGCCAAATCTATTGAGCTTGTTCCAGGGGAATTAAATTTAGAACCTGTTTTACTACATACATAGACAGATTCTTCTGAAACATGGACAACTTTTAGAGTCACTCTTTAAAGGAAAGCTTTATCCTATACATGAATTGAGAACTACTGGCCAAATGAAAGTAAACGAGTAGGATTAGGTAACTCTGAAGATGTAGAATAAAGAGAAGTTAAGTATTTTCTGGTGTACTCTGCCTTGAGTAGATTATCCCGAGCATTTCAGGCACTCAACCAATATGTAGCAAATGAATGAAGAAATAGAATTTTATCAAGTGCAGAAAGACAAATATCATTTGGATGCGAAATATGCATGTTATCTTTCTTCAGTGATCATAGGCTCATAGGAAATCACGATTAGGGCTACTCAAAAGAAACTGATCATTTCATGTGCTACAGCTATTCGATAATATCTGAAATATGAAAAGGTAAATAATTTGGAGTTAAGTTAAAGAGGAAATAGCAAGTGGAGGACAAGTTTAACACTAAACTCTTTAGCAAGTTTTGTTAATGTAACCGATAGAGATGTTGATTTTGCTAACCATTACTTAAAAAACAAAACTTTCTTAGGGTATCCACAGTACAGTTGCTATATTTAGAGATAAATTTTGTTATCTCAAAAAATTACAAAATGAATGTTTTCATCTTACCATATTCAAGAAAGTTTACTTTCTTTTTTAGCAATGAGAAAAATGAGATACCAAGTTTCACATGTTTATTCATTTACTTAGTCATGTGGCAAATACTTATTAATTTCCTAGTTTGTGCATAGATAATGAAGACATAGTTCCTGCCCCTGCAAAGCTTACATTTTAGCCAAGCTGGATGGTGCACACTTGTTCCTGCTCCCACCTACTCCGCAGGCTGAGGCAGGAGACTCCAGTGTTTATAGCCAGCCTGGGCAATGTAGCCAGGCCCTGTCTCCAAACAAACAAACAAACAAACAAACAGCCAAAAGAAAAAAAAAAATGAAGGATGTAGCTGAGTGGTAGAGTGCTTGCCTAAAACAGTAGAAGGCTCTGGTTTCAATCCTCAGTACCTCACAAGAAACAAACCAGAAAACAAAGAATAAAAAGGAAAACTTCATGGCATAAAATATTGAGAGAAAGTTGTTGCATTACAAAGGGATAAAGCTAAATATGAAACTACAAATGTGTGGTGTCATATTTTATGGATGATCAGTAGCTCATCAAGGACTGTGATTTTTCCCACCTAAGTCTCAGCTTTGAGTTGCTCAGAGACCAGAGCTGAACAGGTAGACACTGTCTGTGAGGGTGAAGGTCAGGGAGAGCTGCAGGAATGCTGCCTCCATTGACATTTCTGGAAGAGCCCGGAACAGAACACGTCTTCTTTCTTTTTCTTAAATCACAGATGGAGTTTGATGCTCTGATTTGGGTCTTACTCACTGGGAGTATTTGTGAGCAAAAGGCATTAGCATTTACATCAGATTCTGTCTTTGTTGAACCAAGCTGTCTTAGGCTTAATAAACATGTACTCAAGTGTTTACAGACCCTCATCATGATCTGCAATGATATTTCCCGTTTCTCTTATCTTTTGCACGGAGCTCTCCCTCTCTGCTATTGTTATTCTGGGTGTGCCTACATCTGCTTCTTGTGTAACAATCTTTTTAAGCTCTTTAATAGTTTTGTCTGCTTAATGGACTAGCCTGGAACTACTGAGGCCACTATTGCATAATTTTAACAAAGAGATTACATAAGTGCACACATTGGTGTCACTTAATTAAGAATGTGATGAGTAGATGAAGGTATTTGGCAATAGCTGAAATCAACAAAGTCATTAAAAATTCTTCCCTGATACTACTAATTTGTTTGTAATAGCCTTCTAATTGCAGCATATAAACAAAGACAAATGTGAGTTGGACTGTATGTAAAAAGTATCAATCTTGTCTTTTCTGGTTAAAACAGTTATTTTCACTTCTAGGACAGTGGAAATAAAGTACAGAAAGCTATGTCTCAGTGTGTTTGGTTGACAAGTTGACCCTTTTCTGAAAGGTGTTCTTCCTGTATAAAATGTTTGTTGTCATTTATAGTACTGTGTAGTCTAGGAGAAATAACAGAGGTGCAGGTGCCTTATGAATAACCAGATGGGAAATGGAGGGTGATGAAATTTCCTCCTAGACTCTATGAGTCAAATAGGAATGACAAAAGTGTTTCCTTTGCAACCCAGAGGAGAGTAAAATCTAATTTTTTTTTTTTTTTGGTACCAGGGATTGAACTCAGGTCTTTGCGCTTGCGCAGCAGGCAGCGAAACCACTGAGCTAAATCTCCCGCCCAAGTAAAATCTAATTTTAAAGTCTTGTGGGCTAATGATGATAATGCTGTGTATAAGCCTTCTCCTTAAAGACATGAAACCCATTTTTTAGATAAGTTTTCCCCATCACCAAAATACAGCCAGAGTTTGCGCTTAGACTCAGCAGCTGTTCAGCAGGGCCAGGAACACTGATGAACTTTAAAGACATCTCCTTCCAGCACGGTAATTTCTGCAAAGAGCATACTTGGCATTCGCGGCCACCGACTCAGAGGGAAGAGCGCCACCTGTCGGCCCCTCCGGGCGCCCTCCACCCACCCCGCCGCACTTCCTCTTCCCCAGAGAGCTGCCTGCAGAATGATACTCTGAGGCGGCCTGCAGTTCGCCTAAGTGCTCATATCACGCGCTAGAATTTGAGGAAAACACATGAATTTTAATCAGTTTTTAAAACAACCAGGCCTCTCTTCTCATTTTCTAGAATGGAAAAAAAATTCACTTTTATTACCTTAAAGATGCCAAACAGTGCCATTTTATGACTGTGGGAAGCTGGAAGTCATTTCTGAACTCTTTTGGCAAGAGTGCTATGTAGAGCATCCAACTCAGCCCTTTAAGTGTCTTCTGAGAACCGCCACACAGCCAGTGATTTACCGTCTTCAGGAGTTAAAAGGACGCTTTCTGTTCTGAAACGGAAGAAAGGTGATGCGTGTTTAGGACGCTTCCCAATGACACTCCGGAGGACCTGAGACAGCCCGAGGTAAAAGGATGTGTTGGTAACTCTCACTTCCCAGCGTGCACTTTTTAATTTGGTTCGAAGAGTATGCCGGCAGCCTTTCAAAGGGGGGATTTTGGGGGCCTCGGCAGATGCACCTTCAGGCCACGTGCACAGATAATCTTACACTCAGAGGTCCCCCACCCTCGACTGTTTGCAGCCTAAATGAGCTTTTGGTACAGTTCCACAGCCAGTTCAGTGGTGTGGTTTCCACCACACACACACACACACACACACACACACAAGCACACACACAGATACACCTTTGCACCCAGCCATCCTGTGGAGGTACCTACGTTTTACAAACATACATTCAACGAACTAAACAAAATTAAATAGGAATAAAAAGAGGCTTTTTGCAACCAAAGATGGGGAGATTCCAGCTACCCTTCTTTTCACTCAGTAGCAATCAAAAGGAAGTTGAATTTTTGTGCTTTTAGCTGACTCTTCATCTCTAGTGGTTTAACAGGATGTAACTGGGGGCCCACTATTGGTTTTTAGTTAAAATGTGTTCACACGTAATTGTATTCCACTCCCCATTATTTTCTGGTGCTGGGGATTGAATCCAAGACCTCCTGCACGCTGGGCAGGAGCTCTGTCACTGAACCACCAGCCTTGCTGATACTCTTTTGTGTCGAGATTTTGACTGGCTAGTTTGTGCATACAGTTCACAGTCCTAAGCACTTGGCCACTGGAGGCAAAATCCCAGTAAGAGAAACAAGGTATGGTGTTTAACTACTAGTCAAGAAATACATTGAGCTCTTTGTGGCTAGACTAATGTTTGGCAAACAGTGGGCTCTCTATAAATATCTGATAAAATAATGAATGGTAGATTACACCGCTGTGGAAAAAATTAGTCTATCACATCAAAAATGAGAATCAGTCTGATAGTGTAAAAGGAAACCTGGCAAACTCCTTTTCTTTGCAAAAATCTCTGAACTACTGACTTAAAGTAGAAAGGCTGGCTAATCTTTATTTGCTTTTATATTTTTAAGCTTCTATGAATATGGTCCAAATCAATTCTCAAAGTAGTGAATCATTTTTCTCCAGTTATAAACAACCCAAAATCTTTCACTAGACAGTTTCTCACTAATAATTACATTTTTTTCTTTTTTTTGGTGCCGGGGATTGAACTCAGGAGCTTGTGCTTGCAAGGCAGATGCTGTGCCACTGAGTTAAATCTCTGCCCCAACTGCAGTTTTTTGTTTGTGCTTTTATGTGTGGTGCTGGAGATTACACTCAGGGTCTCACATTGGTAAGCACTCTGCCAATGAGTTACCCCAGCCTAGTGATTACATTGTTAACAGAGTATTTTATTAGTGATTTTTATTTGCATTTTTATTTTTGTGATGCTGAGTGTGAAACTCAGGGGCTGGCATGTGCTAGCTAAGCCCTCTACCACTGACCCACATTCCAAGACCCTAAGAGAGTCTTATATTCATAAACTATATCATAAAATTATCCATAATGGTGCCTTACAGTTTTCATATCTTTTTAAAGGTCAAATTCATGTTTTCTTACAGTGTTATGGTTATTGATGAGGAAACCATCATTTTCTTTTTTTGTCCTGCCAAGTAGTATTCTGACACTTGGAGTGGACTTAATATTAAGTTATTGGAAATATTATGTGGTCTGTTCCTTGTTAGCACCAGGATGATATATCTATTCTAAAGTAAAGAATTCATACATGCCAGTGGGTTCAGGTGTCAGACTGCTTTTCATTGCTAAACCAAGTCCAGGAACAGAACCAAATCTCCCAGTAGCACCTCGCAGGCACGTGACTGAGGGGAAAGGAAAGCCCCACCCAGAGGCTTTCACCTTTCACCCACTCAGGAACACAATGCTGCTCTACTCAAAGGTGACAAGGGGACCAAATGCCCCTTTCCTTTATAAGAAGTAAAATCAAGCTCAAAAGCTTCGATATATACATAGTAAAAGAAGGGAGAAAATTTCCCAGAGCAAATGTAATCACTGCTTGCTGAGTCATCACTAATGTTCATTAAAAGGAAACAATAGAAAAAACACACACACAAGATTTTATAAAATAGGAGAATGACTGAGTTGTTAAAAATGCTTCTCTTTGTACAAATATTTCCAGATAAAGCTGGTACATACACTGAACTGACTCATACATTTCTTATACATATATGTCATTTATTCATTTATATCTGCATCTATCTGTCCATCCATCCTCAATCTAATCATCTATCTATTCCAACCAGGTATTTGTAAGTCACTTTATTCTTTAATACACTTATAAATCTAATTGTTTTGTGTGGCACTATTGCTAGTGATGGACATAGAAGACGGAGTCCATCCTCTCAGGGACCTTAGCGTCCCCTGGGAGAAAGGATGAAGTATTTCAGCCCAACACAGTGTGACAGGTGACACGATAGCATTATGCAATGGTGACAGAAAGGCTTGGAAATGGGATGCTGGGTATAGAGAGACTGATATAAAAGTGGAGCTTTACAAGGTAAGTAATAAGAATTAAGTGGATGTTGAAGAGGAAATGCAGACAAAGATATGGCATATGCAAAACATACCATAATTTCTGTTCATTTATATTCACAAAATAGCAATTCAACAGATTCTACTTCTGTACAGAAGACTTGATATAAAAATTCAATTAAAAATGGTCGTGGAAGGGGGGTAAACTACTCAGTGATAGAGAGCCCAACCTAAACAGGAAATAGGAGGCAGTAGAGTTCAGTGTTCGCAGCCACTGTCTCTGGAACCATATTTTCTGGGTCTGAATCCAGATGCTTACTCATTTCTAGTTGCCAATTTAGAGGATTAAATTTCTTTGTGCCTCAGTATTACTTTTTCCTTTTTTTTCCAACTGGGAATAATAACATTATATTTCTTTTTGTGTGTGTGTGTGTGGTACAGGGGATCAAACTCAGGACCTTGTGCTTGCGAGGCAGGTGCAGCGCCACTAAATCCCCAGCTGTATTAACATTATATTTCTTATAGTATTACATGAATCTATCCATGAAACAATATGATAGTGCAATATTTCCCCTTTGTTTAAATTATGTTATTGATAAATAATAATTAATGACAATAATGATGATGTCATTACTATTATATTTTGACAGGATGTCTGAGAACTGTCACGGATAGAGATTTATTACATTCAGAAGCCAGAAGACTCATCTTTCCAAGAATATTAAAATGGTTTGCACAAGACAGAAAGGACACTAGGAATTCCTTTAGATGCTTGAGTCCAAGTTCCATTTTGCTACCTTTCCACTGGAAGACCTTCAGCCAGTTGCTCAATGCCTCTGGTATGGTTCCTCAATGCACACGGGGCTGCCGGTAGCTCCCTTAAGGTGCTGCTGCGGGAATTCAGTGAGATGGCCTAGGTGCGACTGCACCCCCCTAAGGTTTGTCTTGTCATGCAATAAAACCTTCAACATGCTAAGAAAATACAGAATGGCTAATCTAAGTGTGGCGAAAAATATCTTTCCCAAAATACTTCCAATAGTTTGAGAGATCACATATAAATACTCTCATCTGCATGTGCCAACTCTGGAAAGCACTCCTGAATGTGGCTGCTGACTTTGATAGCCTGCCTTTGCATCTTTGCCAGAACTTGCTCTGGGTTGCTGCTATTCATAGAATGCCCTTGGATAATGTGATAGGTTGCAGTAGAACGGCTGCTCCAATCATTTTGGAGGTGGTAATAACAGCAACTAAAATGGTCAGTGGGAGAATGAACTAAGCTTAGACATCTAATAAAATCTCTGTCTCTGTCTCTCTCTCTCTCTCTCTCTCTCTCTCTCTCTCTCTCTCTATA